CATTGACTAGCATGTTCTGTGAGTTTCTTCCTCCCCACCAAACCAGGATGCTGGATGCTACTACTGTATTCCCAGGGCCTAGGTACGTCCTATAACTCCTCTAAAAATGTATCTTATGCTGCAGGTCGCATGGTGCGCCGTCCCCGCCGCTCCCCGCCTGTCTGTTGAGGTCCCTTTGTCCGGTGAGTTCCTCTTATGCCCACAAATCCCCCCTTAGCCCCCACCCTCCTATAGTCCTATTCCTCGTCGAAATATGTATATAAAACTGATATTCAAGCTTTATTGTCCCTCAGGAGCACCACTAAATCGGAAATTTCGTTTTGTTCAGCATGTATGCCCCAGACATACATAGATATCAAGGGAATGGACCATATTGGTCCCTTATATGTATTACCACTATACATCATCGGCGATGTAGAATATAATGACAATTTACTGAATTTTATACGATTTTATTCGAGGTGCTACACACTACCTATTGTCGACGTCGTCGGGAACAGCGACAACCAGCGTCGGGCACGGCGGCACTGTGATGTCATCGTGTTGGTGGGCGCCATCAGTCCCCTTTTGGCAGCTGTCTATTTTGGTACGTCGGTCCACGCGACGCTACGGCTGGGGCCAGTGCTACCGCCGGAGTCTTCTGGAGGCTCCGTACTCTACTACCCTACAAGGCTGGCGGTGTTCCTGGTGCTTCCGCCGGAGTTAGGAGAAACATCTTTTGAGTCTTATAAGCGTGGACGCGCTGCTCGATCGTCCACTCTTATAAGCCTTGTTCTTTGGGAAGGTCAGGTGTTGAGTCAATCCAAGCCCTGCCGCAGGTGCTATGGATTTTTCCTGTCTGGAGGCCATCTCATGTTCCGCACATAGCAATAAAATGAAGTCATACTTGCTATGTTGCTCAGTTATGACTAGTGGCGATGGCCAGCTTGTTCAAACATACCGAGGGAGGCCGCTTTCGCAACAGTTGGATCGCCGACTGCAAACTCCCGAACGACTCGGAGATGGCGCTGTGCCTATCATGGCTCTAGATAGGTGGTAAGAGGACAACCTAGAGGGAAATGCGAAGATCCTTTGTAGGGGACGAGACCGATACCGGCGAGCGTGCGGACATGATGCTTCAAATTTTTGTTAAGTTCTTACCACAGGCCAGTCCGCCAGCTGTGCTTCGACAGGCAACATTGTATCGCTATGTCTTCCGGTGCCTTTATAAAGCTTTATGAATGCAGCACATTCGATCAGGTATGGTGTGATGCGACGATAACGATATATAATAGTAACTGTTATACATGGGGGGATATAGATCTAATGGAACAAAACAATAACGATAGCATATGATACGATGACGACCCAATGATACAACTACTGGCATACATCTACTGAAGGAAGGTCCTTAATCACATTTGGGATAGTGCATTTAGAAGTCTTCGTCGAGCGTGCTGGAGATCGACTCGTAAGTAGGAGAGCAGCCTGAAAGTGAACGATGACTTACAAGTTCTTCGAGGATTCAGGATTCGCAGAAGGCGTGTTCGTGTGGTTAACGTTGGCCTTAGCGTAGTCGGATACTCGCTTCTCGAAGAAGTTCGTCTTGCCCTGGAGGGAGATGTTCTCCATGAAGTCAAAGGGGTTCGTGGAGTTGTAGTGCTTCTCGTTGCCGAGAGCGACAAGCAGGCGATCGGCGACGAACTCGATGTACTGGCACATTAGCTCTGCGTTCATACCGATCAGCTTCACTGGCAGTGCATCTGGAAACAGGCATTAGCGCTATCATCAATTCCGGATGCCAGAGATGCACACCAGTCAAGAACTCCTGCTCAATCGCAACGGCCTCAGTGATGATGGCCTTGACAGTGTCGGGGTGCGGACGCCTTTTCAAATGCTGGAAAAGCAAGCAGGCGAAGTCGGTGTGCATGCCTTCGTCACGACTAATCAACTCGTTTGAGAAGGTCAAGCCAGGCATGAGACCACGCTTCTTCAGCCAGAAGATGGAGGCGAACGAGCCGGAGAAGAAGATTCCCTCGACGGCAGCGAAGGCGACCAGACGCTCGGCGAAGGTAGACCGTTTGTCGGAGATCCATGTGAGGGCCCAGTCTGCCTTGCGCTTGACACAGGGAATGGTCTCAACTGCGTCGAAGAGGTAGTCACGTTGCTTGGGGTCTTTGATGTAGGTATCGATGAGTAGAGAATACGTCTCGGAGTGGATGTTCTCCATCATGATCTGGAAACCGTAGAAGCAGCGAGCTTCTGCGGCCTGGACTTCGCCGGAGAAACGCTCAAGGAGGTTCTCGTTGACAATCCCGTCCGAGGCGGCGAAGAATGCGAGAACATGGGAGATGAAGTGGCGCTCGTTGTCGTTCAGACGGTTGTTCCAGTCATGGAGATCCTTGGACAGGTCCATCTCCTCAGCGGTCCAGAACGATGCCTCAGCCTTCTTATACATTTGCCAAATCTGAAGCAGGCCTCAGCAGTATGCGGCGACCATATGGCAGCACACATACCTCATGGTACTGAATAGGGAAGAGCACGAAACGACGCTTGGACTCCTGGAGGAGAGGTTCCATATCTAGAAAGGTGTCAAGCCACGAGCTGATACACCGTGCCACACGACAGCTCACGTTCAGGGAGGTCAACCTCGCCCACGTACGTGCCCCTCATGTCCTTTGGTTTGCTCTCGGTCGACTCCTTGACTTTCTCAATCTCCTTAGCCGGCTTAGGCTCTGGTTTGTGTAAAAAGAAGTCGGCATCGTCGAAGCTGTCGGGCGACTCGGGTTGTTTTTCATCGTCGATGATTTTCGCAGCCTTCTTGGATGGCTTGGTGGGAGTAGTAATGTTGAACTTCGACAAGGCGGCAGCAGCCTAAGAGCTATGTTAGAAAACGAAAGATTAAGACGCGTCGAGACGCCCACCTTCTTGCTAGGAGAGGGACCGGGGGACACGGGGCGAATAGTGGAGGCCATGGCAAGTGGTAGGAAGAGTGTAGTTGGAGGTGAGGAAGCTGGTAGACGTTGGTGGTCTGGAGAGAAGGGGAGAGGAAAGGCAGATTGCTTTTATACGCGAATAGGGGCTTTACGCGTGTTTGGCGGTTCAACAAGTGCCACGACGCGTTGTTGTGGTCTGTTGACGTGTTCAGCCACGCGTCTCACCGCGTCTTCCGCAGATGAATCACGACACGCGTCAGTTTCGCTGCGTGCTGATCGTCATGCTCTGACCAAAGTGGCCCAATTTACGTCGTTCTGCGCCAAAAGCGACGCTGGATTTCACACCGCTGTCTTCGGGAGCCACTCGGATTGCCTTGGCCATTCTGGATCAATCTTTCTGGGCGAATGGAAGCGGCCTCGATCTGACCTGGTCGGACTCGAATTCTCGACCCCGAGTAAGGTTCAGTCTTCCCTCCGCGAACTTGAAGTGGAACGCGGTCGCAGTCGCGACCAAGTCGCGTCGACGCGTCGTTGTTGAATGAGACGCGTGATCTCAAACGCGTGACGCAGTGTGACCCTACGTGTAAATGCGTACCCACGCCACCGAAATATCCTCGGACTCAGGAGTCAGCATATCCCAGTATTCGCGGATAGCTACACGTCGTCCTCACATGTGCGATGGTGCCGTCAAAAACCCAGCTATATTGAATCATAAACTAATGGCTATCGAACACACAAGTAATGAGAGCGAGCGGAAAGCCAAACTCACGCATGGAAGCCCCGAACTCGAAGACCCTTCCCCGGAGACGGACAGGTACGAGCGATATCCAGCTCGTTTCGTTGGCGACGTCGATTTACCAGAATGTACGTCGTAAGTCAATGACATTGTACCTGACCAGTTCTCTAATGACGACGCAAGGCAATGAACCACTTCTCATGGAGTCGAAGCGTCGGTTCGTCTTGTTTCCTATCCAGTATGAAGAGGCAAGCATCCACCGAGATTTTCTGGCCTAATCTAATTTTGCTTACAGATCTGGCGCATGTACAAGCAAGCCGAGGCATCATTCTGGACCGCGGAGGAAATGGACCTTGCCCAAGACCTGACTGACTGGAACCATCGTCTGAACGACAATGAACGTCACTTCATCTCCCACGTCCTTGCTTTCTTTGCCGCTTCCGACGGTATTGTCAATGAGAACCTGGTGGAAAGGTTCTCCAACGAGGTTCAAGCAGCCGAGGCCAGGTGCTTCTATGGATTCCAAATTATGATGGAGAATATCCACTCGGAGACTTACTCCCTGTTGATTGACACCTACATCAAGGACCCTGCCCAGCGAGATTACTTATTCGACGCCATAGAGACAATACCGTGTGTCAAGCGTAAAGCGGATTGGGCATTGAGATGGATTTCAGACAAGCAATCCTCGTTTGGCGAGCGACTGGTGGCCTTTGCCGCGGTTGAAGGAATCTTCTTCTCTGGGTCTTTCGCCTCGATTTTCTGGCTGAAGAAACGAGGTCTCATGCCTGGCCTCACATTTTCCAATGAATTAATCAGTCGCGACGAGGCCATGCACACGGAGTTTGCTTGTCTACTTCTTAGCCACCTCCGTCGACGGCCACATCCAGACATTATACGCGATATCGTAACTGAAGCAGTCGCTATAGAGCAAGAGTTCCTGACGGGTGAGTCGCAAGGTCTTGCGCGAGGTCTTCTGCATCCTGACACAAGAAGCCTAGATGCGCTTCCTGTTGCGCTCATTGGCATCAATGCAAATTTGATGTGTCAGTACATCGAATTCGTGGCCGACCGTCTACTTCAGGCACTAGGCAATCCGAAAGTGTACCATTCTACGAATCCCTTCGACTTCATGGAGAACATCTCTCTCCAGGGAAAGACCAATTTCTTCGAGAAACGAGTAGCCGAATATGCTAAAGCGAACATTAATCACTCTACCGTCGTATCTCGAGACGGTACACCCGACACAAGTAACAGTAGAACCTTGTAAGTGTACATGTGTCACTCATCATCTGGACGCGACTAACCTACCGCATCATAGTACGCTCGACGAGGACTTTTAGTGTCTTTGGCTCGGGAGATTGTAGTGTATCAGTAATAGACCGCCCATCGCTGCCCTACTCGCCCATATTATAATTATACTCCCGACTCATGTATCATAATGGTTTGCTGTAATCGTTGTGTTGTAATAATAGCTTAGCCCCAACTCTACCACTTCGTGACATTCATATGACGTCCACTTGTGATTATAATGCCGACGAATAACGGGAGGGAATATGGAGAATAAAATCCTGGATACCTCAAGTTTTCCTCGAATCAACAGTCTTGTCAACGACCTTACCATTTCTCCGAGGTCTTTCTTCCTCCTCGGTTCCGTTACCAGCTGAGACTACGCCAGACGAATGCCTGCCATTCTGCCTTGGCCCAAGCGAGCGTCCCGCAGAAAACGTTCCAGGCTTCAGTAGCGCTGGAGTGGCATCTACTTTCTCCAGGGGTATCTTCCTGGCTTGCGCACAAAACAGCTTCGCGTCCTTCTCGCAAATCTTCTGGATGAAGTACTGGTTTCCTGAATAGGCAGATGCATAGCTTGACTGTGTCAAGAAATGTTTTTTTTAATACTAGAGACGCACCTTTAGGTACAAAGAACCTCCCATTGCGACGATCACGCTAGTCTGGTGGACGTGGAAGTTCACGGCGCCTTCGATGACATAGAAGCCTGCAAGAGGGAGTAAGTCCATTGAATAGGAGCCAGGGAAGTTGCGAGGGGGAGGGTCTACACACATAAGTGTTGTCTTTGGTCTGCTTGCTGGGCTTGGCTTGCCCTGGCGGAATCATCAGGAAGAAGTCGTCATTGGCAGCAGCCTTCGGCTCCAGCATCTTCGCAGTGAACGCAATGCCTGTCTCCTCGTCAACATGAAATTCCACCGCCGAGGAAAGCGCAGAACTCACGTCTCTCCACCTCCTACTTGGTGACATAATCCCTCCTCCGGATTCGGCGCGGGCACAACCTCGATATCCGGTTCTGCTGTGCCCATCTTGGCGCGGCTGCCCTCCCGCACCTTCTTCCGGCTCTGCCTGCCTTACCCAGCCGCTGCACGGGTTCCTTGGGCAGGCGGATGATCTTCTTGATGTGGGGACGTACGTGACGCCCGCATTCCGCCGCTCATAGACGACCTTCCCGAGGCGCCATCACTCGAGCGGGCCGTGGCGCACACGCCGGGATCTGCGCACGCCTGGGTGCTCGCCGTTGTCGAATTCTCGGCGAGTCAGGAACGCGGCAGAGAGACGAGGGGGTACGTACGGGTGAGGTGCATCACTTCTTGTCGCTCGCGGGGAGCTAGGGGTTTGTTCGGTTTGAGATTCCCCTTCTCCAGGCGCGCTTTCTTGCTCACTGGTCGCTGCTGCTCCTCTTCGTCTTCTAGCTGATCATCGTTGTCTACGGACATGTCATACGTGTCCTGGAAGCCCTGATCAACTGCGTCTTCTACATCACTCTGCACGTGTTCCTCCATATCTTCGTCTCTCTGCCTTTCTTTGCCTTTGCCAGTACTTCTGGGGACTGCATTCTCTTCATCTGCATCGCCTGACCGACCAGGGATAATACTATGTTGTCTGGCACGCTTGAGATTGCCCTGGAGCGTGTCCGCAGACTGGACTGCCTGCCCCTCTTGGCGGGAGATACACTTTGCACGGCCTGCGGCTCCACGGCGTCGTCGTCATCGTAATCTTGGTCGAGATGAGCGAAGCCAGTCGTAGTCGGGCGGATCTGATGGCGGGAGGTAGGCATCCTCTTCATTGTACCTCTCTCCAGTAATAGCTACGCGGGACAAGGTGGACGGACCTGGTGCGTTGGCCATTGAATATCGGCGGGAAGGCCCAGATGAGGTCCGCGGGCGGGGGGACGGGACTCTATCGAAATCCACGTCCGAAGAGGGTGGCTGCGAGCGAGACGAGAACCCAAATCTCCTGATGCTAGGCTTGAAGATGCAATTGTCTGACGAGCATTTGTCAAGTATACCGCCGGTGAGGGTGGATTGCCTGGGACCAACTATTAGGCGCATATAGCCACATTCAACAGGAATACAACTCACTATCCACCAGGTCCATCGACACCTCTCCATACTCCGCATCGTCGTACCCTTTATCCGCCACCGAGGTCAGCGCCTTCTTCTGCTTCCGCCCATTCGCTTTCGGTGGTGTCACTCAGGCTGGTGTGACTGGCTGATGACCTGGTCGAACGCCTCAAACTCGTCGGACGTCCGATCGACGTTGCCGACGTCGAAGCCGGTGCCCTTGCCATGCTCAAAGCAGTCGGCGCGGAAGGGGACGTGCGCCTTGGGCGCGACACGCCGTGATATTCCGAAGCTGCTCTTGCGCAGACATTGGTATCTAGTCTCCCGTACGTAGGCAGACCGAATTGCCTCCCTTCAAGTTTTTGGCAGGAGAGAGGACAATCGTAATTGGTATCAGGGCTGGCCCGAAAGGGATTTATAGCAGGCGTGGGAAACTTTACCCTCGCGTTGAGTTATGATGATTTTCCTCTCGATCACCGTCCTCCGCGCGTTGGACGCCACACCGCTTCTTCGTGCGTTGCTTTCACCCTTACCATCCTCGAGCTACACCCCGACTGTACCATTAATATGGTGCGTATCCTGACAAGATCGAGTCTGTGGAGGGCCAATAGATTGTAGTAACTCTAGCTCCGCCGTCAAGCGCGCGAACGTCGTCAGTATATCTATGCCAAATCCTTGGAATCTCAGGAGCGGCAAACGTATGAGCGGAAACGTCAGCTGAAGGATGCACTGGCTAGTGGAAAGAACCTACCCACGGAGCTGCGGAAGCAGGCGAAGGAGCTTGGGAAGGACTTGGTTTTTGACGAGGCTCAGACTGGTAAGCCAGTTTTACTTCCATACTAAGGTGTAATCGCTGAATGTGTTCTTTCTGTGATTGCAGAGCCAACATCCCACATTGATAACGAATATTCAACAGCTGGAATCCAAGATCCAAAGATTGTGGTCACAACTTCTCGAGATCCCAGCTCTAAGCTGCTGCAATTCGCCAAGGTATATACGCTCACCATACCTATGAGCATTGCTGAATATCAGCGCAGGAAATGCGCCTTGTGTTTCCGAATTCACATAGAATAAATCGCGGAAACTATGTGGTGAAGGAGTTAGCGGAGGCGTGCAGAGCAAACGAGATCTCAGACTTGATTATTTTGCACGAGCACCGAGGCACTCCAGGTCAATTGCCAACTTCCGATTTAAATGGTTTTATGTCAAAAACTCACCTATTACGGGCCCCAGATGCTATGATTGTCTCACATTTCCCTCACGGCCCTACCGTCTTCTTCACTCTCCATAATGTCCAGCTCCGTCACGATATAGCCTCGTATAAGGAATCCACTGTCTCAGAGCAGTACCCGCATCTCATCTTCGAGAACTTCACGTCGAGGCTGGGACTGCGTATCCAGGATGCTTTGAAGTATCTATTCCCCGTCCCAAAAGAAGATAGCAAACGAGTCATGACCTTTGCAAACGGAAACGATTTCATCTCCTTCCGGTACGCTGTCTCTTCATGATGCTTTGGAGACCTCGGGTGCTTACAGCTGAACAGGCACCATGTCTTCGTTAAGATCCCGGGAGGTGTACAGTTAGCAGAGGTCGGCCCACGCTTTGAGATGAAACGTGAGAGTGCTCTCCAGCAATCGTTATGTTGACACAGACCATTTATTCTCACCAGCGTATGAGATCCGGCTGGGCACGATCGAACAGACGGAGGCAGAACGAGAGTGGGTTCTAGCACACTATGCTCGGACAGCAAAGAAGCGCACTCTTCTGTCTGGGCCAGGTCGACCCGCAGAATCGGAGGAACAGGCATTGAAACGGGCCAAGCGCTGAATTTCCTTCCCCGCGGAATATCTATACTGGGAGTCTCAAGCTTCCGGGGTCCAGCGAACATCACGCGCAGTCGCATCATTCGCATAGTTTCGAGTTCCTGCTCAACTACTCCCTGCCTTGTACGTATCGGCGTATCATGTGTACCGTGATATTCAGAACGACGGTTCGTTCAGGAGGGCTGGCCTCAGTACGTGAGGGTAAATCCTAGGCGCCAGACTAGTGTCTGGATGCGGGTGGTTCTCAGCTGTTGTACTGTTATTGTAGGGATACAGCGGGTGCATAACGAGGCGATTTAGAGGCTGTGACAAGTGTTAGTCTACCGTTAGTTGCTTGTCCAATTCTGCAAATCCTTCGAAGAACGAAGAGAACAGGTCGATGGCATTCTGTACATCATGTGAGCCCGCCGTCTCGCGTATCGAGTGCATCGAAAGCATCGCGTTGCCAACGTCTACCGTGCGGACACCGATCTTGGACAAGAAAGGCCCAACCGTAGACCCGCATGGCCTCGATAATACATATTAGCATGAGCAGCATCGAGGTTGACAAGGCCAGCGACGTACATATCATTCCGGATTTCGTACTCTTGCACCTTCCCTGCCTTCCTCTCCACCAGCTTCTTCACGATGAACGACCCAATGGCGTCACTCGCATACCGCTGCTTCGCGTTCGTCTTGATCACGATGCCGGCGTTCATCTGCGGGGTGTGGTTGTCCTCGTGCTTGGATCTGTAGTTCGGGTGCACGGCGTGGCCCATATCCGCGGAGATGAGGAACGAGCGCGAGACGGACTGCGCGAGGAGGGCGGGTGTGGGGGAGAGGCGATGGAGGAGGGACGGGATTAGGGAGGATTCGGCGCCAGTTGTGGAGACGCTCCCGATTTCTTCGTGGTTAAAGAGGGCGATGCAGTTCACGTTGCCCGCCAGCGTGGGGAAGGACTGAGAGGATGCGATATCTGCGAGTGCTTCCACCGCGCAGAATCTGGAAGGCCGTCAGTCGTGGGTTGAGAAGTCAGGAGGTACTTACGATGAGACCAGATTATCCATGCGGGGACTGAAGATGAACTCATTGTTGATGCCTCCGAGCACGGAAGGTTGGGTATCATACAAATGACTTGAGTGGTCAATCAGATTAGCTGGAAAGGGAGGTGGAGTCGGGAGTGACGGACAGTTCAAAGTCACGAATGTCCTCCGGGGCAATGGAGAGCTCATCCGCCAGAAGGGATAGTAGCGCTGGATGGTGATTCTTGCTGATGTCCGAAGCTGTAGCCCCGACCTCCTTAGGCTCCGTTTCCTTGGCGGAGTTCAGCTGAGAGGCGATCAATCCCAATATCGGAACGAATTCAGTCTCCTGGTTGAACTTGAAGCTGTCGTTGACGTTCCTATCCACTAGGACGCAGACTCAGTTGACGTTTGGCATTATACGAGAGAATTTGGCTTACGGTGGATAGCGAGGGTCGGCATCCGCAGGATAGGTCGGTCCACACGGATCAGCTTAGACGCGAATCCCCCGTTCTTGTCTGCGATGATAATCCGTCCAGCAAGCGAGAGGTCACGGTCCAGCCAAGAGTGCCATATACCCCCGCCGTAGGTTTCTATCCCGACCTGCAGATAACCCTCCTTCGTGCGCTTGGAAATCGGGCGTACCTACACGCCCGGTCAGACCCAGCTATCTCCGTAGCGCTGCTTACTGGGATCTCACTCGGAGGTTCGGGCTGTCCACATGAGTAGCAACTATAGATACTCCTTCCCCGTGCTTCCACTTCTGCGGCAGGGTGAAAGCCAGCAGCGAAGACTGATTCCTGGACGATAGGAAGATTAGGAGGTCGTATGAGCATGAGCCGAGCAACATACTCACCTCGTAAAGTAGTACTTTCCTCCAGCCTCCAAGTCCTTCTCCCACTCGTCTTTCTCTCTTATCTATTGGGAAATTAGGCACAAGGTTGTAGTGTTTCTCGCCGCAATCATACCTTGCGAAAGCCAGCCTTCTCAAGACGGAGAGCGGCGTTGTGGACGGCATGGAAAGGAGTGGGCGATGCATTGACGAAGCTGAGGAATCTGGTGGCAGCCTCGGGGCTGGAAGAGGACAGCATCATGGCTGCAGACTGGGCAATGAGAATGCACGCGTATATAAGCACGTCCTCGAACAGAACCTCAATTGCAAGTGATCGGCCGCGGCACAAAGTAACAGCCCGATTTGGTAATCCAAGCCAAACGGTGAATTTTGGACTTTACGGTTTCTGGCCGTATCGTACCGTACGCTCAACCATGGTACAGAGCTATCTGAGGCATGGGCCAACTCAGGTTTGTACCAGCGGTTATGACTGTTGATATGCACGCTAATGCGTCTTGCAGGCCTTTGGACTTGTATGCAGTCCTTCGTCTAACTCGGTATACGATGATCGAATAGCCTATGTTCCCGCATTGGAAGACGTACTGGTATGGGACGTCAAGAAAGGTCAGATGGTACGCTTATCTTTCACTAGGCTGTATTCCGGAGTTCAATAATCCTGTAGCTCGCTATGTGGCACGAGACGGGGCATAGAGCCGAGGTAACCTGCATCCAGCGTTCCCCGCGCAAGGATACCTTTGCAGTAGGCTACGCAGACGGGTCTATTCGATTGTGGAGTGCCTCTACAGGCACGGTGACTACCACATTGAATGGCCACAAGAAAATGGTCACCGCTCTGGCATTTGACGATGCTGGTACACGCCTTGCGTCGGGTTCGCAGGACACGGACCTTATCATATGGGATATCATTGCGGAAGCGGGTCTGTTCCGGTGAGTGACATCGTATCTCTACTTCAACACCTGCTTACTTCGATCTGGGTAGCCTGAGAGGTCACAGGGACCAGATAACTGCGATCCGATTCATAAACGCCCCATCCGCCGTCCAGCCCTCTACCTCAACAGCCTCCAGTCCCGGGTACATCTTGACTGGCTCGAAAGATACTTTCCTGAAGCTATGGGACCTCTCCACACAGCACTGCATACAGACTCTGGTCAGTCACCGCGCGGAAGTATGGTCGATGGACCTGGACAAGGAGCAGAAGGTAGTTTTCACTGGTAGCGGAGAGGGCGAACTGAGGGCGTGGCGCCTCGATCAGGAAGCGCTTGCTGAAGGTCTGAAAGAGACCGAAACTGGGCAGGTCAGCTACATGCACACGATTGGAGTACTCGGGTTGACAAATTAACCCATCTTCGTCGCAGCTCACGAAAATGATACAGCCAATCACCACCCTCCCTCTCTCGTCCTCCCATAGGGTTTCCCAAATATCGTTCCACCCGACTCTCCCGTATCTCGCCGTACAGTCCCACGATCGGTCTGTCGAGCTCTTCCGTATCCGGACTGAAGAAGAAGTGAGGAAAAAGCAGGCGAGGCGTAGAAAGCGCGCCAAGGAGAAGAAAGAGAAACACTCTGGTAAGGGTAAGGACAAGAATGGGGAAGAGGGCGACGCGGATATGGACGAGAACAAGGGGATCGAACTCGTAGACCTGTTCACACCATACCTTGTCGTCCGGGCCAGCGGGAAGATTAGGTCGTTCGACTTCCCGACTTCGGAGTCCAGTCTAAAGGGGAACACTCAGGTGAGCACCATGATTTGTTCTATGTGCCATCATCGTGATGAGAATGCATTTGTTGGGATCATAGCTTTTCGTTGCCCTGTCTTCCAATGCACTTGAGGTGTACAATATTCCTCCACCGACGAAGTCCAAAGAGGAGACCTCAGAGGCTACTCGCATGTACTCTCTCGATTTGCCGGGGCACCGCACGGACGTCAGGACGTTGTCATTGAGCTCGGACGACATGCTCCTTGCATCGGCCTCGAATGGTAAGAAAATTGCACCCCAGTGTCGCTCTTCGGATATCTAAAGACATGGCAGGCTCCGTGAAAATCTGGAATATGAAGACGACTGCCTGCATCAGGACACTAGACTGCGGATACGCAATCTGCAGCACCTTCTTACCCGGTGATAGGCAGGTGTGCCTTCATCTTTAGGAGTGTCTATCCTCCAACATTGACGCACTGCCATAGGTTGCCGTCGGTACGAAATCCGGCGATATCTTCATCTACGACCTGGCATCCTCGTCGTTGGTAGAGACTATTCAGGCGCATACAGCGACCGTCTGGTCTATGCAGGTCCGCTCCGATGGCATGGCCCTTGTCACTGGTAGTGCGGACAAGGATGTCAAGTTCTGGGAGTTCGAAGAAAAGGAGAGTACTGGTGGTAATGTAAGCCAATCTTCTCCTCTAAGTTGAAGGAGACCACTGACCTAGTTGATGCGCAGGGGCCCAAATTGGTCACATTGGTTCACGTCCGTACACTGAAGATGACGGACGATGTGCTCTCCGTCCGGTACAGCCCGAACAGAAAGCTCGTGGCTGTCTCGCTGCTGGATTCAACTGTAAAAGTATTTTATGAAGACAGCTTGAAGTTCTTCCTCTCCCTTTACGGGCACAAAGTCGGTATTGCGTTCTCCTCTTGGATCACTCCTCTGACTCGTTGTGCAATAGCTGCCTGTGCTGTCGATGGATATCTCAGATGACTCGAAATTGATCGTGACATGCTCTGCGGATAAGAATGTCAAGATATGGGGTCTCGATTTTGGTGACTGCCACAAATCAATATTTGCGCATGACGAGAGCGTCATGCAGGTGGCGTTTGAGAAGAAGTCGCATTACTTTTGGTCAGTCGGCAAGGACAAAATGCTGAAGTACTGGGACGGTGACAAGGTGCGTCGCCGTCAAGTCATAGAAATAACCTAACTTATCCTTTTCCGTTGTAATAGTTTGAGAACATCCAGAAGTTGGAAGGTCACCATGGGGAGATATGGACACTGGCTGTGAGCCACTTCGGTAATTTTGTGGTCACTGGGTCACACGATAAGTCTATCCGAGTCTGGGAGAAGTTGGACGAGCCGGTCAGTCGGATATCCTACCGTTTTTCGAATGTTTGGCTCACGTTCCTTGTAGCTATTCCTTGAAGAAGAACGAGAGCGAGAACTCGAGGGCCTTTATGAAAGCGGAATTGCTGAGTCCATGAACCGTGAGGATGGACCCATAGGTAGTGGAGCTGCAGACGGCGGTGAGGCACCGACACAGGCAGAAGCTACCGCGGTCTTGAAGCAGACTACGGAGACCCTGATGGCTGGCGAGCGCATCATTGAGGCGCTTGATCTCGCAGACGCAGAGCGGGCGGCGTTCAGGGAATACGAAGAAGCGAAGGCGTCCTTGAGCCCAGAGGAGGCGGAGAAGTTACCGCCCCCCGCTAGGAACGCTGTGCTCGCAGCGTATGATGTGACCCCAGAAGCGTGGGTTTTGCGCGTAGTCGATAAAATTCCCAATACAGCGCTTCAGGACGCGCTATTGGTCTTGCCCTTCGGGAAAGTGGTGTCCTTGATGAACTATCTCAACATGTGGGCCCAGAAGGTTGGTTTAATATGACTCGTTCGTAGATTGACATCGCTGACGATTCACCCAGGAGTGGAACATCATTCTCGTCTCGCGGATCATGTTCTTCCTCCTAAAGACGCATCACCACCAAATTGTCGCAAACCGGATCATGCGCACCACCCTTATGTCGCTCCGCAAGCATCTACGGTTCGTGCTGCAGCGGCAGAAACAGACGATAGGTTATAATCTAGCCGCACTTCAATTCATTCAGCGTCGGAACGACACCGAAAGGACGGCGCAGTTCTATGAGGAAGAAGGCATGGACGAGGAGAAAGTGCGAGCGAAGATTGCCGAAGGGAAGAAGAGGAAACGAGTGAGCATCAAAGCTTGATGGTCTTGACTCGAGGAGACATCCCACGGGAAAAGTATAGTGTACAGGCTGCATAGAGTATAGGATGTAATGATACATGTATGATGTTACAAGGCTAATGCAGACGGAGATGTGGTGCCGAGGCGCTGCCTACAGACGATAATCTTGGATAGTGAACGGAATGTTAGTTCTTGTAATGAAGATCTCGATCTAGAGGTACAACGCCGGAATCAATGTTGAGGGCCCCAAAGTTCCTCGAACCTGACAACGAGGGGGTTAGATTATGATATCCCCGAATCGTCATTGCTCACCATGTTGATGGCTCAGTAGCGAGTCGCATCTGGACTGTCAAGAGACCCTGGTCGACGTCAGCTAGTTGGGAAAAAGCTGCTTTGGTCAGATCCACATGCTTTGAGCCTGGGGCGCATCCGGCACATGTGTCTACCACTCGGACGAAGGTACATTTCTTGGGGCCGTTACATACTGCGCATATACCGATTGTTTATTTTTAGTAGGGCTGCTGGTAATCGTATTCGCTTACGTTCCAAAAACTTGAAACATTTGGGTCGAGTCGTCCATCCCTCCAGGGTCAGAGCACATGCAAAGGAGGCGTCCTGTAAGGAAGGTTAGAGATATGGTGCAAGGTGTCGGATAATGGGGCTGACAGTAGGAGCCCAACCCGAGTTAGCCCAGCAGCTTGGATTTTCCAGGTCGTGGCCTGTGTACCAGGTAATAGTCACATCTTCCGCTTTCCCAAGACCCTTCAGGCTGTTCCAGACGGAGTCGAGAGCATGTGAGACAGAGGCGCCAGCTAGGATATTTCCCTTCGGAGTCGCCAGGTTGTTCCCGGAGTTAGCTTTCGTGGAAGCTTTCTTCTTGTTAGCCTTGGCCTTTGAGGGTTTCTTTGACGCTCTCTTGGCCAACGAAGAAGAGTCTGCGGCGGTTCCATTCCCAAGCAGCGAAGCCTCCGAGTTATCGGTCGAGCGACTGTATTTGTACTGCAGGTCCGTGACGTTGATACTTTGCCAGCCATCTCTAACATCAAAGGCATAACGTTCTCCCAGAGAGTGTGCGGTGGTGTATCTAGCATATGCAGCTGAACGAGACCCGAGCGGGTCGATGACACTAGCGCTGGTGAGGAGCGCGGGGAGCCAGGAAGTCGCCAGGACTAGAGTAGTGAAAGTACTGCGTTTGAACATTATTGTCTTGAGTACTGGGCCAAAGAGAGGCAAATGAGAGAAGCAGAAAAGAAACAAGGCAAAGTGAACGAAAGAGAGAAGGAGACTGAAGAGGAGGAAGGACGACTGCAATTTCAACTTTGGCGATACGCGTCAGTCACGTGTGCCGCGCGACCCATTTCTCCGACGGCATCCCGAGCCTATCGGCATGGGCATTCGCCATACACGAGGAGGATGAGTGACTCGGATTGGGCGAATCTCAGACTCTACCCCGTGCATTGCATGCGAAGGCTATAGCGAAAACCCAACATGGCACCCAAAGACGAGAGGCGGTCTCTTCTCAGCGGGACTGACCTTATCCACGCTGACGATGATATACACCGCTCTGGTTCCGATGTAGCACCCGCTATTTCAGTTACGACCAGCGAGTGTTCTGTCTTATACTTAGGACATAATCAAGGCTGACGTTCAATCCAGCATTCAAAGCTCCGAGACCCGACGCTGGAGTCAAGAAGGCGTCTGAAATTGATGTGTTTGATCTATTGAATCCGCCTAGGCACATATACTCCCGCTATACACAGGGCGTAAGCTCTCGCGCGGAAAAAGTTTTGAGCCATATCAACGTGAGCCTTGCGCGACCGTCTAGATGATATCGGCCTTCCGGCGTTGACCAGCTCTTGATTCAGGGAGGCTTCGCTATCACATATGCCTCAGGACTAGCCGCCTGTTACGCAGTATGCTATTTTTATAACTACTTTCGGAGGTTGTACTTGACGCACCGGTCCTTGCAGGCTTTGGTGTACTACCAACCGAAGAGAATCGCTATCACTCAGGGATACCACGGGTGTCATGCTACTATCGAAGTCTACAGGAAGACGCGTGGCGGCAACGTGGAGATAATAGGCATAGATGATGACTTCCAGACTGGCGACTTGTGTTGGTTAGAAACACCTCTGAATCCGACCGGAGAAGCCAGGTATGGAACCCCGTGGCCAAAGTGTCACGTCATCCCGTACTGATTCTACTGTCCAGAGACATCCAATTCTATGCGGACAAGGTATTGTCTTACTCCATACTTCAAGGTGTCTCTAACAAAGCACTCAAGGTTCATGCTGTGGGAGGGAAACTTGTAGTAGATTCAACCTTCGCCCCTCCACCGTTGCAATATCCCTTTAAATGGGGAGCGGATTGTGTTATGCATAGCGGTAAATACCCGTCTTCTCGCTCGAGCAGATATTGACATTATTGCTTCAGGCACCAAATACTTCGGTGGACACTCTGACCTTCTATGTGGCGTCCTAGTGGTCAAGACGGCCGATGAATGGGGGAAGGTCAATTCTGTTGTACTTGAAATCAGTTGACATAACTCACCATCCCAACTTAGCTATGGAACGACCGAACTTTCTTAGGCAATATGATGGGTTCCCTCGAGTCATGGCTCTTATTGCGTTCACTTCGTACATTGCACGTGCGGGTGCCCAAACAGTCTGTCACCGCAACTGGACTCGCCCAGTGGCTCAGTCAAGCTTCGCAAACTCGTTCCGGCCAGTCATTCGACGGCGTACCCGGCGGGCTTATCGAGAAAGTCTGGCATTCGTCCTTGCAAGGGAAGGATGAACGCGGTTTCGAGCCTAGCAAGCAGCTGGAAGGCGGTTGGAACGCAACTTTCGCTATATTGGTTGGTAACTTCCAAGTATACCTATTTTGAACTATGATATACTTGCGTGAACATTGTAGCTGGCTAAAGCCGACCACGCTACCCAGCTCCCCCATCTCGTCAAGTATTTCATCGTAAGCGGATCTGTTCAACCATAGCACACCCGTCCTGACCAGCTCTTGTTACAGCCTGCGACGAGTTTGGGCGGAGTGGAATCACTTATGGAGCAACGCGTCCAATCGGATCCCGGAGCTGACCCCAGACTGATCAGGATCAGTGTCGGCGTCGAAGAACTTGAGGTACGTATCAACATGTCTCACCTTTGGGACTACGACGAACCCTCTGCTCAGGATTTGAAAGATGATCTGAGGAAGGCATTCCAAGATCTTGTGAAGGTGATTGCATTCTTCTGTCTATTCAAAGCATCAACTTACCCTTCACAAGGGTAGTGCCAAGTTGTAGCTTAGCTTAGGTACCCGGCTGGTGGCTTGCCACACCGCTGCTGGATTTAGAGGTACGGTCCCCATTCGAGGGGATCTGAGGCGGGGTGTAATCTCGATACTCAAACTCGAGTTTAGGTTAGGGTTAGATTCAATCAAGATTGCATTTTCGGATTGGCGTTCGCGAAGCGATACCAATCAAAGATCAAATAGCCGCCCAGTGCATGGAGTTCCCCGTGAATAAAGAGCGCGTGCACTGTATCCGATCGCTCGGTCTGAGAGGCGCAGTGCCGTTAGCAGCATGCAAGCCTCATGTACAAGGGGGTGGACTATATGAGGCAGTGGACCTTTTTGGTGCTAGCATTGTCTGGACGCCTTTCTTGATACTCACCGCTATGCCTCCTCCAAAGATCTTTCAGGCTTTCAAGCGGTCGACGTCTCGCGGCGGCTCAGCTGCGCCTACTCATGGTATGGAGCCACGGCCTTACGAGTATGGCAGCGTCGGAAGGAACAGCCATTATCGGCCGGACACCATGTACACCGATGCTACTGTACCGCAAGAATAAGTGAGTCGCCAAGTATTCCAGTTCTCAAGCGTATTCTTTTGCTCGTCCCTGACGTCTATATCTACGCTGCCGTCCAGGGTCACTCGGCCTACTCCGGCCGTACTGCGATTGATGACGACGAGGACTACGAGGACCTGGGCGAGTACTCGAATGCTCGACATCATGCTATCCCGGTGGAACTGTCAGACACTAGTGAGAGTCGTATCCCGAGAGTGCAACGGATGGATGATCCGCGCTCTACTATGTATGATACAATCCCGGAAGAAGACGAGGAAACCGCGCGTACAGTGTCCGACGACTATGTCGACATAGGCCACCACCCGCATGGAGACTATTATCATCGCTCCCGATCCTCACACTACACGGACGACACTATGATGCAAGATTATGGACCACTCTCCTTATCATCAACCTCCCGCGATGCATACGCCCTCGAGACATGGTTCGCAGCGCTATCCGAGCGAGCCCACTATGCTCGACTACAGGTCTCATACCACGTCTTACATCCCACCGCCGGGGCAAGTGCACGTACCTTCTTATGCGCCTCAGACTGCTGCTCAGGCAAGCCTTCTCATTACTGCCCTCGCTCTGGACGTCGCTCATGTCTCGCCTTGCTTAGCCTCCGCTGACCAGTTCCAGGGCAGACTACCGTGACTACGGCGCTGCGTCTTCGTCGCACCGGCAAGCCAAATACCAAGAAACGACAGCAAAAGTGAACTTTGCGCCTCAGGAACGCCACAGAGACCGATACGATGTAAGTCAAATATGTCATAGATGGCTTCTGACTTGTTGAAGTCTCCTTCGCAGCGGCGCGACAACCGAGAGCAGACCCTGCCCCGTCGTGAATATACCCAGCCGGCAGTTCATACTATATCCCATAGCGGTAGCCGTCGTCGGGGAGAGACTTACTACATTATCCCGGGTAACAAACCTGTGATATTCAAGGATCAACGCGGCAACGAAATAGCTCGGTAGGAGTTCTGTTACTCTTGAACTGCACTGCGAGAGTGTTAACAATGATCCCATAGCGTCGGCGATTTCAGCGGGAAGACGAGAAGCCGCAGGAGACACCCTATCATTGTGCAGGACGAATATGGTCACGAGTTATATCGGTAAGCTCGCGCGTCGCCCGCGTATTCCCCGTCGCTAAGCATCTCATGCTGTAGGAGCGGGGATGTAGACGACCCCTATGGCAGATCTCGAGACCATGGAAACCATAGGTATGCTTCTTTATTTCGTCATGGTGTTTTGCGGGTCGTGATTGTTCCGCCCTAGACGTGAGGACCGACCGGATGGCAGTGATCACTCAAGTCGTACTTCAGAGTCCAGTCCTAGAGCTCAACATCCGGACCGTCCACGATATGACAATCCCAATCCTGAGATCTATGACCTTCCCATTAAACTAGTAGACCAATGGGGTCGACCTCTTTCACCGTAAGCTCCGACGCACCTTCCTCTGTGCTCTTACTAAGGACCATGCCCCCCCCCCCCATAGACGCGTCGAGACTGTGAGCAGGCACGGCTCGATGTCAAGTCGATCTCGCGATGGTAGAGCACCGCGCCCGCCGCCCAATGTTATTCTCATCGATGACTTCGGTAATCAAATCCCGATGTGAGTTTCATACCTCACAGCTTCGACGATGTAGTGATTAATTTTGCCCATCAAACTAGCAAAGTACCATCCTCGGGGTCCGCTGGCGGTCCATACCACCCGACAGATCATATGCTGCATGATCATGAAGTACAAATGCAAGCTGGCCATGGAGTGCATATGCAACCTTTCCATGAAGAACATGCGCAAGGCCCGTGGTAGAGCTGATCGGACTGTCTTCTCTCCGACATGGGTTTCGACTCAATCGTACATAAGTTAACTAACTATTAAGCACTATAAAATTATGCAACTATTATTTCCGCCTTCCGCTTGGCCGTCCCTTTCCCCTCATGGGTCGTGCGGAGGCCTGACCCTGGATAGAACTAATATCTTCCTTGCTCAACTTGAGCACCCCGCGCTTGAACTTCCCTACCCCCATTGTAAGCCCCTTCTCCCGTTTCCTCGTATTCCGCTGTGATGCAGGCTCAAAGAGTTTTTTGATGGTCGGGTGGTAGTTGCCCAGATTCTTGGCCTACACGGAGTCGATGAGCTAGAAACAGAGGGTGTTGGACAAACTCACCTCTTCTAGCTGTTTACCATCCCTCTCCTTCTGCTTTGAAAGCATACCTAGCCTGACTTTTTGAGCCGCCTTATTCCGTTCAGCAGTCTTGACAGATTTCTCTCCCTTCCCTAATTTCACTTCGCCGGCTAGTTCTAGCAGACGACCTTCCAGCGCTTTCCGGCGCTGGGCAGGCTTCATGTCTAGCTCAGGATTTAGTGAACCTGATAACAGCTTGGTATGAATGAGTCGCCGAAGTTCAGCATCATTTTCGGCATTCGTGCTAGCGGTTATGGATTAGTGAGAAGACAGCGAATGCTGCTGCAATTGTAACGAACCGTTCCTCATTTTCTTCTGCTGTCGTACTCAATTTTTTGCGATGGTCGGTTACGTCCTGCGTGAGTTTGGATACCTTGGAAGACTGATACGACGCACGGATCAGTGTTGTACTAGTGAGGAAGACAGGACTCGCCCATACCATGAACGCTTTCAAGTCTCCTTTTGACCCTGATTTTGACGAGGATGATGTGGTTCGAGCGTCATCAAAAACTACGACAGCCGGCCCCCGAGAGCTGGAGGAATGTGCTGTGAACCCTCCGCCGTTGGCTTGAAAATCTAGAGAAAATGGTCAGCGGCCGTACGGAGGTTTATGCAAATGGATCTTCTACCATCCTCAGGCTCTGAGTGCGATCCACTCTCAGAACTGGATTCATGTCCGAGTCCCAACCATTCCTCGTCTGTACTTGTATCTGCTTCTGTCTCCTGCTTTCTTGCCAAATTTTCCCGACAGGATACAGGATCGTCATCTCGTTTTCTCTTTTTGAACTTCGACTCTGTCAAGTTGAACGAGCTTAGGAAGGCCTTGCCGTGTGCCTCAAGAGCAAGTATCAGTTCTTGTTGTTCTGAATCAGCCACAGACATGGCGAAAGCGCTTCAATGATCGGACGGTCGTGACACTGGTCACAGAAGTCGCTTGTGGGCACGCCCGGACTATCATAGGTACGGTAGACTCGCGACCAGTCCTGTACGCAATGCACACGCCTTCCGTTTTTGGTTTCGGAGTGATGGAAGGCGTGAGCTTGCGAACGGACTGGTGACAACGGACAGTCACATAGCGGGGTCACAACTTTCCCCGCCAAGCGTGGAGAACGTCCAGGCGTTCGCCCGCCGAACGCGTTCGCGAACGTGTTCGGCGAATGTCTGGGCACGTGAGGGGATACCACGCCACCTGAGCCTAGGGAATCGCCACACCGCAACTGTTATTGAGCGAGAAAGGCAATGGCGGCTATGCTTTCAATCCATAAAATACAGTTTGTTATGCACATATTATTGTACCATACCAGGGATATTGATGATGTGAATAGAGTAATTTCCATGAATTTCAAGTTGTCCATCACATTTCCAATGTAATGCCAGTAGTATTGACCATGGAAACTGTTAGGGGGAGGGCACGGAAGGGGCTTCAATGGGTTCGTGTGACCCCAATTGGACAGACAGCTTCGATTACTCACCACATTTTTTTACAATAACCCAGCAATTTCAATCTCACAGACTGATACAATAAACTTACAAGTTAAAACCCTCAGGCTATGCAGATTTTATCATAAGCAGGAGGGGTACGCGTCTGTGGCCGGTGGACAGAGCCACAGAATCGACACGCGCCCACGTGCACCGTGGTGTGGTTCTCACGTTCGCATTTGCAGTTCGCGAACGCGTTCGGCGGTGTGACCTCCCAGTGGGGTCGACTTTCTGCAAGCGTGACTCCGACTTGAAAAAATTTGCCCCCTCAGACGTACAAAATCGTCTCTGGCACACATTGTTCAATGATGTTTTTGAAAGCGAATGGAGTTGATTGGAATAGGTGAGAAAAGAGGATTTTCTCCTTGAGTCAGTCCAAAATCATCGAAATTTGACCTATGTCAAATGAATCTATGGCCTTCAAAACCTACAATGGTGTAAATCTCCAAAGGCATGATTTTTCTGAGTTATGAGGCTCTCAAATCACGAAGTCCCACTCATAGTTGACGCGTATCGCGCGCATCCCGCCAAAAGGGCGACCGTGGTTCCCAGCCGCTTCGCAGTGTAGCGAGTAGTACGAGCGGAGCTTGAATTGCGAAGTGGCTGGTATCGAGCCTATATCATAGGGACTGGCACAGTCGCGGGCATCCCGGAACCCGCCTGAGCAGGACCTTTTCCGCAGAAAAAGACTTCCGCGGAGATTAATTCCCACGTCATCCGCGGAAGTGGCTGTTACTATATACCGGCCTCTCATTGGCTGGGAGGAGTCCGTTCCTGTCACCTCTCGAGTACTCCGTGGGAGTTTTTAACTCCGCGGAAAGCGGAAATCCTTTCCGTGGAATTAGAGCGTATTTGCAAGGCCCAAAAGTTTGCCGGGTGCTCCACTTTTCTGAAGGACTCACAGATCAGCGCGGCACGCTCTCTCAGCGAAGTACGGCTGATTTTCGGTTTCCTCTAAATCGTGTCTAACTGCCGCACAAGTTGTACAAGGCGTATCCTAGGTATCTGTAGATGCTTGTTGAACAAGAATGAAGTCGAGTTAGCGAGAAATATGAGCTTTATAGATGACTTCGCGGCATGGGTGGAGCAAGGGAGGACCCCTGATAATAGGTATCAAGGCTTTATTTTAAATCCTGAGAATCTGACCTTTTTGTCCGCGCCAAATTTCCGGATTTGGGGCCGTTTTGTCTGCGAAAAATGTGGCCTGAGCGGATTTTGGCTGAAAATGTCCGCAATTCTGATCAGGGCTCTGCTTACAGGACCTTTGTCCGCGCTGTAGGAAAAGGCATTAAAATGTATCAAATTTGCTCTTCTAGTAATGTATATCTATAGCACCATTCTATTCACCGTCAGAAATCATGTCGACACCGCTCGCCGCCTTGCGTTTGCGGCGGAGTTTTGCCAGTTCTTCCACTGCTGGAGCCAACTCCGCCATCTCCGATTCGAGATGGAACTTGTTAAATAGACACAGTTATGTTTTTATTATGTGAACTACAAGAACTTAATAAATGCTGGATAGACATAGTCTACTACGAGATGGGATAGGGACCCACAATGGCCACATCCATCATATAGAGAAAAAGTTGAAAACACATGCCTACATTGAGGATCGAAGCTAGTATCCAGGAATCAACCAATCATACATGGGTCAAGTGGTAACCCCTGGACCACGAGACTATATATGTCCGCACAAGCATAAGGCATCCATAGCGCATAGTGCCTATGTCTGCAAAAAAATCAGACGTGCACCTGTTTTTGGGCCTTTCTGTCCGCGAAAAATAAGGCCTGGGGAGGTCTAATTTGGCTTGATTTGTCCGCATTTCCACAAAGCCTTGATACCTATTATCAGGGGTCCTAGCAAGGGCTACTGATTTTAGTGTTGCTCATTAAGTGAAGCTGAAGTGACGTGAAGTGGGGCCTGTCAAACTTCAGTCCGTCTGAAGTGAAGCTGAAGTCACACTGAAGACTTCAATGAAGCGTGAGACAGCAGCCCTCATCTGGCCAACTGAGAGAGATAATGGGTGAATCACTCAGCAGACATTGAGCTTTGGTCTCTCGTTTCTTTTCTATCACCAATTATGAACCTTACGGACTCTGTCTTACACCAAAGATGCACTTTTTGGCTGCAGTAGGGTGGTACACCGCGTCGACGACTGCTGTCCTCTCCAGTCCGGCAACTGCCGGTCTCAAGGCCGACATGGGCATCGCCGAAGTCAACCACGCGAGCGGGCTTACCCACTTCGTGTAGGTTTACTCCTTTCGTCAGTGGAGTGGTGGGACTGAAGTCATCTTGAAGCCTTCAGTGTGACTTCATGCCATGCTGAAGCCACTGAAGTGGGTGCTTCTTGAAGTGAAGTGACGTGTCCCTTCAGCTTGGCTTCACTTAATCAGCAACACTAACCAGTTTAGGTAGGCAACCCTCGGCTAAATCCTCTGGATCAGCAGCTCCAAATTTTGGATCAAAAGCCATACTTTGGGCCTTGCAAATGCGCTCTATTACCACAGGCAGTCCCCGGAAGGGCCGTGCCAGTCCCTATCACTGGCTACAATACCCATATTGAGCCACTGAGAAAGTGTGAAAGGAAGCGGACAAAGGTCAAATTTTGTTCATAGTGTTGCCTTGCAAAACAAATGAAAGTTCAATGAACAGTGCTGAACAAAGATCATATCCTGTGTCACAATCAGATTTCTGCACACTCAAAAGTAGTAGTATTCTAATTCATTTCACTGACTGTGCAATGGACAATCATGAAAAAAGTTTGACCCTTGACCAGTTATTTTCAAAGTTTTGTGCATGCTCAATATTGAGAGTTGGCAACGCCTGCCAGCCAAATGTCCGTGTGATCGTTATTGTCACACGCGCATCATTTCGCGCCATAGGCCGTTCTCCTCTGCCAACCTAGGACTGAATGATCTATTCCTGCACGATAAAGAGAAACTTTGATACTTAATACAGCTGGTATAATATCTACAGTAGTATTGATGTCATATATGCAATAAAGAGAATTATTATACCGCTAAAAAGCGCAATATGGTAATCATGAATTAGTATTCTTCTTCCCCTGAGTCCTCATACCCTGGGTCTGTATTATCTGTAGAAGCTGCCATAAAATTGAAAGGATAGCCTTCAGAATACCTCTTGACTGTTTTGATTAGAGCATTAATCTTGTCCGCCTTCTTGGTTACTTTTGACTTGATGGGCACCAGCCTCGTCCTTAGCTATCCCTGCCTTGATCTCCATTTGCCGGTGCTTCCAGAAGGGACATGTTCTATCAAAACGCGTCGAAAA